CGCCGCTCCCGGTTCCCGCCTCCCCTCACCGCGGTCTCGGCAGCCCCTTCCTGCAGCTGCCGCCGCCTCCGCCGCCTCTGGAGGAGCGGGTCCACCTCAGGTCACCATGCCCAGCAAAACCAAGTACAACCTTGTGGACGATGGGCACGACCTGCGGATCCCCTTGCACAACGAGGACGCCTTCCAGCACGGAATCTGCTTTGAGGCCAAGGTGCGGGGGGCACGGGAAGGGTACTGCTCGGGAGGGGCCGTGTCTGAGTGGATGGGATGCACTACCACCCTGGAGGCAGAGCTAGTGCGCTGAGCTGATGAGGGGGCCTTTCTGTTAGGGAGGGTGACTCCCCTCCTCAGTCCAGTGTCACCGGCTCCTGTCCAGAACTGCTAAGGAGCAACTGCAAAGTTTGAGCGGTATTGCTTCGCCACCTTCCTCCCACCTGCAGACTCCCCCATCCTTACCCGCCTGTGTCTGGATTGAGTTACTTCCCGGATCCCTCCTGAGGAGGAGGAGAATCGGGCGGGTCAGTGCAACCCGGACACCGGGTTTAGAATCGGTTTAGGGAAGCTCTGGTGTTATTACCTGCTGGACTCCCGTGGGAGAGGTGCTTTCAGGAAGGTCTTTTAAAGGGGGAATCCCGGCTTCCTGATTGAGGAAAAGTCTTTTCCTCATCAGAATTCAGGGGTGTTTCTTTAGATTCCAGGTAGCCGGGCCAGAAGTCAGAGTCTCTTCCTAATGCTGAATTTGCCAGAACTCTGGGGCAGCCATTGAGGGAAGGGGGAGTGAAAGCTGCCCATTTGATAGTTTTGTGGCTTAATGTTAAGTTTCAGCAGCTAGTAGGGAACCGCTGCTGAGGAATGTAGCAAGGATGACTGGAATTTTCAGCGCTCAGGCCAAGGCCCCAGGTCCATCCTTTGGGGGCGGTGTCCAGGCCTCTGTACTGAACCATCAGGTGTGAAGAAGGCTGCCCCCCTGTGATGCACCTCCGTGAGTGAGGAGTTCTGGTTTCTGAAATTCCAGCTGGGATTCCCGCTGACTGTCACCTGGGAAGAGTGCTTCTCCACAGAAAAGTGTTTCTGATTCTTTCTTATGGCACTTGCTCCCCCCACCCGCCCATTTAAAGACCCAGCAGTGCTCAGCACCTTCTGTGTGCCTGTCACTGTTATGTGAAAAGTATCAACTCTCCAGTAGATTGTGTCTTGCTAGTTTCAAACACATAATACTTTTGACATGGAGACAGTTTTACTCTTTCTTCCCCATTTTCTCCATCATTTGGACGCAGGATGTTCATATCTCATGCAAGGATTATTTATCAAGTGTCTATTTCCTTAAAATCATGAAACACTTTTTGAGTGTGTGATATGTACCTGATGCTGTCAGTTATCTTTAGATCATTTTTCTTCTCATGGAACTGTGTGAGTTGGTGAATCTTATTGTTATTTTTCCTGAATAATCTTCCTCCAACCATATCTGCTACAGCTAGGAGACCCCTCTGCCCCCTTAGCCATCAGACACTGCCGTGGAATGCAGAGCTGCATTACTGGGTTTGGCTGGGACAGAGTGGGGCTGCAGCCGAGATGGTATCTGGCTTCTCTCAGAATAGATCTGGTTGGTCTTAGATGAGGGGTTTGGGTTAATTTTTGTCCGGGCCTGTTGATTTGATGAGCAGATGTTTTTATTTTAAGGTAGGAATTTTTATCAGGGTCGTGATTTAATTTTCTCAGATGTCCATAAACTGGGAAATTGGTTTTTGTCTTGTTGGTTCGCCAGTGCGCTGTTTTGCAAGGATAAGAGTAAGAAGGGAGATCAGATTTAAACTGTTTTTAAGCCTTTTTATTATTTTCTTGCAGTCATCTGCATTGGGTCCCAGCTTAGAAGAGGTTAGAGCAGCAGCTCTCAAAATCTAGCGTGCCTAAGAATCTTCAGGGGAGGGTATTAAAAATTCCGCTTCTTGCCACCCCAATTATAATTTGGTAGATCTGGGGCAGCCCAGGGGTGTGTACCTTTAATGAGCATTCCAGGTGATTCAATGCAAGTGATTGGGACCTGACTTTGAGAAATTCTGGGCTCCAGGCTTCCTTCCAGCTTGCTGGATCTTACCCTCCCTTTCCCCGCTCTCAGTGTGTAGTTTCTTTTCTAAGCGAATGTCTGGGAGCTGCATGATGTCGTTCCTATAGTAACTTCCCTGCATTCACAGACAGTAGTGCTGGATAAGAGGAGCTGTTGTTATGTGTACCTTCGAGTGGGTTCCGACTCATAGCGACCCCATGTAACAGAGTAGAACTATCCCATAGGGTTTTCTAGGCTGTAATCTTTGCGGGAATAGATCGCCGTGGAGCTGCTGGGTGGGTTCGAACCATTGACCTTTCTGTCAGCTGAGCACTTAACTCTTGTGCCACCAGGGCTCCTTCGAAAAGAGGAGAGGGAGCCACAGTTGGACCGAGCTGTGTTCCCAATGGAGATCTGAGACATAGAGGCCCAAGGATTCTGCTTTGAGAACAGTGACACGTAGAAGATAGGACGGGAGGGAAATGGTGAGGTTTCCTTGGGCAACGGCTGACTTTGAGGACTAGGTCCCAACTCCCAGCTCTTGGTGATCAGTGCCGCATACCAGCACATTCAACCACCATGTCAACCAAGAATTCAGTAGAGTGGAAGCAAATACTTCTCTGTTCCATGTGTACCTGGCAGGCCTCTTCTTGGCTGGTTTCCACGTCCCAGGAGAGCAGTGTCCATGTGACTACACAGTGGCTGGGATTTCAGGATGAAGTCCAAACCACACTCTTCCTCCTGTTTTGGAGAAGCACAGGCTGTAAAATGCAAATGTATTATATGCTGCTGCCTTGTCAGGTACCCTTGGAAAATGAGCCAGTGAGGTTTTTCTCTCCCAAGGGCTGGCAGTTTTTCAGAATCAACACTGGATGGAGTGACTCTTTGGATGTATCCTGCTCACTTTCAGGGTTCTGCAGAGACTGAAGGTTAGGGTTAGGGTTGAAGGACATCTGGGTGGCAGAAGTTCTGTGTACTTAAAAAAAACATGCACTTAATTATTAAGCAGAATCCCAGATGTTTTTCACCTGCAGTGCCTCGTTTAATTCTCACTATACCCCTGGGAGATGGGTTTCCTTATGTCTGTACAGGCTCAGGGAGTCTGCTGCCTATCTTAGTGCACACAACTGGGTATGGCAAAGCCAGGCTTCACACCCAGGAGCTCAGACTTCAGACTCCCAAATCCAATGCTTCTTTATTCATTATGGTTTTTATGGAGTGTCCACTCCATGGAGCCCCAGGGTAGTGCCAACGGCTAACATGCTCAGCTGTTAACCAGATGGTTGGAAGCTTGAGTCTACCCAGAGGTGCCTTGGAAGAGAGGCCTGGCGATCTATATGAATGAATGAAAAATCAGCCACTGAAAACCCTATGGAGCACAGTTCTACTCTGACACACATGAGGTCACCATGAGCCAGAGTCAACCCAGTGGAAACCGGTGGGTCAGCTCTGTGCGGGGCAGTGTGTTCTGATTCATGGCTCTCCAGTGGGGCATCCCTAGGTTGCTGGCTTCCAGGACTCTGATGTAGGAAATGAATCAAGCTTGTAATGCTGGGCTGTTCCCAGATTTCCCCTTGGGCAGAGACCTGCTCCCTGCCTTTAGCACGGGCACCTGGCCCACTGGTCCATGCTGGTGGTTGGGTGTAAAGTCTCACATGGCTTGAAAGCTTTGGTGCCTTAGTACCTGCCTCTCTTCCTTTCAGTATGCATTTCTGCAAGACAGTGCCATCAACTGAATGTCTCTGTTTGTTCCGTAAGGAGGAGAAAAAATGGGACAGCGGGACTTCTGATAATGGTACAAAGGATTAATAGTATTAATAATCTAGTTATGTTTTCTATTTGTAGATGATTTGTGATATGCATGGGACTTGCACATACAAAGAATTTCCATTTTATAGAAACAGGAACATTAGTGTTTTCTCTATTTTTCAGGTGAAAAAATTGGGGATCAGAGAGGTTAACTTGTTCAGAGTCACAGAACCGAGAAGTGTCAGATAGTAATGATTATTGCTGGTATTTATTGGGCACTTACTGTGTTTTAGGTGCTGCCTCATTTAATTCTCACACTCCAGAACCTTTGACTTTTAGTCCATGATTCTTTCACCTACTCCAAGGCTCACCTGATCCTGAGGTGGTTGTTCCATCTGTACTCATAGCACTCGTTGCTAAGACCATTCACTGATAACTACATGTATCACATGGACTGCCAGAGCTGGAAAGTGCCTTTGCTTCCCTGGTACAGCCCCCTCATTTTACAGATGAGGAAATTGAGGTTCAGAGAGGGGAAGTCCCTGACCCAAGGTTGCATAGCTAAATAATAACAGAGTGAGGACTATCCCTGGTTTCCTGGTTTCAAGTTGGTTTCAGTTATCTGTTTCTTTGTAACAAACTACCTCAAAACTCAGTGGCTTAAAACAATTGTTGGATTGGCTTATGATTCTATGGGTCAGGAATTCAGGCTGGGCTTGGCCTGGAGGTTCTTCTGTTGCATGTGGTGCTGGCTGGGGTCCTCATTTGGCTGTATTCTGCTGTGGCCGGGCTGGAAGGTTCTAGAAAACTTCATTCACATGGCTGGTGGTTTGGTGCTCCTCTGTGTTGGCTTTCTCTCTCTCCACTGGCTAGATTGGGTTTCCTCACAACATGGTGGCCTCAGGGTAGTCAGACTTTTTATTTGGTGCCTGGCTTTCAAGAGGGAGTATTCTAAGCAGTGAAGACAGAAGCTGTAGGTGTTTTGAGGCCTGGCCTCTAAAGTTACACAGGGTCACTTCTGCTGTACTCTATTGTCAAAACAGGCCATAGGTCAGCTTAGATTCAAGGGGAGGAGAAATGGCCTGCACCTCTTGATGGAGCGCACCAAAGTCACATTGCAAGAGCACATCACATGTGGAATGAGAGTTACTGCTGAAGCCTTGTTTGGATCACCATCTACCATGAAGTAGTGTGTTCTTTCTCTTCTGCATATACCTTTTTCTCTCCAGCGATATCAGACATCCCTTGAGGACTGTTATGGATTGAATTGTGTCCCCCACAAACATATGTTGTAAATCCTAGCCATTATACTTGTGGAGGTAATCCCATTTGGGAATAGAGGTTTTCTTTGTTATGTTAATAAGGCTGTATCAGTGTAGGGTGTATTTTTTGCCAGTGACCTTTGAGATATCAACTGA